CGGCTTCAATTCTTTGTTTAAAGTCCATTCGTCACTAAATTTTTTGACTTTATTGTCGATTAAATAGTTTATGTAAAATATACATGTCTTATTACTTTAAACCAGTAATTCTTGTATATATATTATCAATAGGGTTCTCGGAAACGGCTCTAACGATTTTGAGGAATTTTTATACACAGATAATGTTTTGGATTTTAAGGTTATCTGAATAGGCATAAAAGACTCGTATAAGTTGCCACCTATTCGAAATTAGATATAAATTAATCAAATGGAAGGTATTCTAAAGATCCCTATAGGGTTGCCACCTATTTTTAATCGCATCTTTATTTAATTTTTGTTAAGAAAAAAAGGTAAAATATTACTATTCATGGGTACTATTTTATATATATCTAAGGAAAATTTGAAAGTTAGGGGGGGGGNGGGGGCGGATCGAGCACCCCCCTGCCCCTACCTGGCTACGCCCATGTACATAGTACATATACACTCCAAATAAGTACCATTCATTCGAGTGTATTTCGGAATAGGGTTGCCACCTAAATTTTAGAGTAAGGAATTTACTTAGTAGATATCGAATCCTATTTTTTCCCCAAAATATTTTTTTAAAACTATCCAAATCTTAAAAACTATAAATAGTATATGCACTCCGGGCAAAGCTCGGTCAACCTGGTACTGTATATGAATGTATGTACATTAGGCTGGGTCAATTTTGATTTTAATAAATCTCATGGTATTTCCTGATTCTGCAGATAATTCCGAGAGCACTGTGTCTTGGAAACGAATTTCGAGCCAGCGCTTTTTTAAATGAAAATATTACTTTTTCACAATATTAGCGTTTTAAACTTTTCTTTAAACTTTCGCATATAAAATGTCTGTATTTAAGTTTCTTACATTTCCTTTATTTTTTGACCATTTTTAAAAAGCAAATCGTTACCTAAAGGTGAAAATGTGCCAAGTGCATTTTTTGAAGTTGTTCAGGAGAGACGAAAAATCGATGTAATTTCGCATTATATGTTATTCTACATCAAAAATTAATTTTGAATAAAGTGGACTTGGAACGTTTTCGCCTTTAGGTAGCGAATTCACATGTTTTGTGAATCTTTAACTTAAAAGATTACCAAACATTATAAAGAAATAGTTTTTGTATTTTAAGAACGAAAACCCGATATCAAGGTGTCTAGGAGTTACCGTTGATTGTTGCCAATTTTCTTGCTGACAGTGCCTCTTCCATACAAAAATTACTTTTTATACAAAAAACTTATTAAAATCGACGGTTAATCTTAGCTAATTGCACTTTATTTTAATAAAATTGAATGTGCCACGAAACTGTATACTCAATATCTTTCTAAGAAATCCATCTAAGGTTAAAATTTTTACAAAAGTTTGTTATTAAAAAAGAGTAAACCATATCTTTATAAAAAAAATAACTAAAATTAAATGATAAAAAATATATTGTTAAAACGTGTCAATATGTGGTGCGTTTATAATTTTGACACGGATTTAGGACGGTAATTATGGTTAATCAATTAAAAATGTTATAACCTAAAATATAAGCATTTTGTATCTATTACATAGTTGTAACAAAAGGTGAACACTTTGTAAACCCGGCTTATGACGAAAAAGTAAAATTTTGAGAACAAGTAAATTTTTCTTTTAAAAATGCGCAGGCTAGGACTCATTTCCGACTTATAGTTTCTTCTACATTTTCTCTTAGATTTATCTAGAAAATACCATGCGATTCGTCGAAAAACTGTCGCCTGCTCAATTTGCCCACCTTAATGTACATATTTTAAAAGTTCTAATTTTTTTACAACGAGATGTCTAAATGTTTTTTTTTCCAAAATTCNGCTCAATTTGCCCACCTTAATGTACATATTTTAAAAGTTCTAATTTTTTTTACAACGAGATGTCTAAATTTTTTTTTTTCCAAAATTTGGGACATTTTGCGTCCGGGTTGTGTTGTACCGGCACCGGGACATAGCTCTAAAATCCGGGACAGTCCCGCCGAAAACGGGACGGTTGCCAACCTGTATAGTTTCTTAATTGCTTATCCATTTGGATAATCTTGTTGACCCGAAATTTGGCTATATCTCAAAATCTTTTAAACTCTCTTACATTTTAATTTTGTATTCGGATTCATCGGGAAATTTTACATTAGCATGCATATGGGTAAATCTAAAAAACAGCTAACCTCTGTTTCATTTAGCTTTATTTTTATTGTTGTAAGCTATATCAAGATGGTTGCTTTTGGACACAGTTCATAGACGTATACTTGAGCCTCACAGAGCTCAAAAAAGCAAAATTTCGGATAAAATATATACCTCAAACGAGAAATTTGAAAAAAAGAATTTTTCTTAAGGTTTTTTTTATTTAATTCTTCAATCGTAACCATTTGTTAGGCTTGCACAATATTATTTATGGAATAAGAAATCGTGTAAAACTCTTCGTCAACAAGTAAAACAATGGGTATGTACCCTCCAGTACTGCTGGAGTCAATCGCTACTTTTGAACCGCTACTGCACCGACTCCTATGTAAGTAGCTACTCTACTAACCCGTGGTAGTGCACATGGTAGTGCAGAGTCGAACCAGATAGCGAAAAACTACGACAGAGGGCGACCATAAATCACGCAAGTGACTACTTTAGTAACTCCCGGTAGTGCAGAGAGAGTCGATGGTGATTACCGCCTAGGACATTGCCTTGTAAAAGTAATCGATGAAAAACAGTGCAAGTAGTCGGTCGGTAATTGACGGTGTTTATCAGGTAGCTACCGATTCAGCAGTCCTGTAGTCACTCCCCCGTACTGGGTAGATACTATGAATGTATGTATGTAGTATGTCAAATCGAACATTCTGATACTACTTTTTGTCTATTTTCGCGGTGCACGTACGTAGGAAATTTCACTTTCAACTGTTTAGCCAGACATTTGTATGCGCATAAAAATATTCACCCCTATGCTGTAATCCGTCGTAGATTCGATTTTGCTACGAATCGTAAAATTGGTATGCTGTAATCCGCGTTGCCGTGTCGTAATTTCGAAATTCGGAGACCATCTTCCAAATTCGTAATGTTGGTATGCCTGAATCCGACGTAGCTGTAATTTGTATGTATTTGTCGGAAATTTTCTACGAAGAACAATTGGTGTCGGAGCGAAGCGAATTCTTTTAAAATATCAATAAAATAAAATGTGTAAAGGAATAATATGTAAGTTAAAGTGTGAGTAGAAAAAATGGATTATCGTCTTATTTACAAAATTATCAGGTCGAAGATCACAACAAATCGGTCGCAATACGAAAAAATGGTAGAATGCATGACCGAAAGGCCGGACATTGCTCGCGGCTTTGCAAAAGGAGCTAAAGAGGATGTAGTGGAGTTTTGGGAAAGCGCCGCTCAGCAGCTAAACACCTTAGGCCCAACGGCAAAAGATGTATCCAGCTGGAAAAAGGTGCGGATAAAATTTTAAGAGCGCAAAATTTATTTATCATTGTTTTCCTTATATCAATACTATTTCTAGGTATGGCTCGATTATAAGTGCTACATTAAAAGAAAGCTTTCCGCCAATAAAGCAGAGACGAGGGCAATTGGTGGTGGACCCAGCAGAATGCACAATTTCAATGAGTTGGAGGAAAAAGTGATCGAGTTGATGGGTTTGCACATTTCCACATCGGGGATCAATGGAGCTGTCTATTTTGGTGTGGTAACAACACAGACGGTTACCCAACCGGTGGTGGAACTTGCGGCAGTCGTTCCTATGCCAACTGAGCCAGACAATACCAATGTGCAGAGGTGTTCCCATCCAGTAAAAAGAAAACGACACGGCCACTTTGGTACAGGGGCAAATAAATTTGCAACGAAGCTACTACCACAAAAGTTTGGCCTTTTTGGAACGCCAGGCTGAGCCTGCAAAGGAGGTGGCAGATAACGTGCGACACATGTACAATGTGCAAGAAAACATGCATGACATGAAGGAAAAAATTGCGTGAATTAAAGCGACACAATATTGAAATTGAGGCCCTTAAAAGAAGGGAGCTTGAATTGCAGGAAAAATTACTGCGGATACAAGAAAGAAGCCAGCAAAAATGAACTAATGGATAAATTTATTTTTAAGATTTTTTTATTTTTGAATTTACTTTAATTTTGCACTGAACTACTGATTTTTGAAATTTTTTTATTTAAAGATTATTGGATTTAAGACTATTGGATTTAAGAATATAACTGAACTAAAGAAGTCAACTAACGTTTGTGGTATCTGTTTATATGTATAAACTATTAGATTTAAGAAAAGAACTGAACTAAAGAAATGAACTAACGCTAGTATATATGTATAAACCTATTAGGTTTAAGAAAAGAACTGAACTAAAGAGATGAACTAACGCTTGTGATAACTGTATATATGTACAAACTATTAGATTTAAGAAAACAGCTGATTTTTTTGTATATTTAGTTTTAAGTAAAGAACTGAATTTATTTTAAACTTTTTTATATCAAATAAATATGAAGTACAAAGTTATGGGATTATTTTCATTAATTAGGTAATGATCTCAAAATTCACATTCTAATGTCTGACGCTTCTCCTGATGGCGCTTCCTCTTTATTTACATCTTCATATTCATCATCCATAATATCAGGTGTATTATCTTCTACGTTGTAATGGATGCACATGTTATGCAATGCGCATACCACATTAGGGCTATTCGCGATTCGGTGCATAAGAGCTGACAAATTTATGCAATTGCAGAAATATGCCATGGATTGTGAGCGACCTTTATTAAACTGTCATGGTAAAGCTTTTGCAAAACAATTTTTGTGCATCAGCTTTGGTTTTGTTTATGAATGCAATGCATAGCATTTTTATGCTATGGATTTTCGGTATTGCAAATTTGCCAAGCCATGACAAATGCAAATGCGTGTATTTTGTTTGTGTATTGCAAATAATTTGCAATACAAATTTGCAATGCAATGATGCTAGGCCATTTGCACCGGATCGCGAATAGCCCTATTAATTATTTGTACCACTTTTTGGGGCGAATAATGTAGTTGGCGAGTATTTAGAAGGCATGAAAATCTATTTTTCAAAACGCCGATGACTCTTTCGACTATGTGCGAGCTTTACTGTGCGTTTTGTTGAAGGCGCTTTCTCGACTTCCTTCCACAGGAGAACCGAATGGTGTAATTAACCACGGCTGTAATGGATATGCAGCATCGCCTGTTAAACAAAATATTTTTAGTTATATTTAACACATTTTGCTCTCATTCCACTTATAACACACCTAATATCCAAGTTGGTTTGTCTCCTTGCCGATATATCTCTTCAAAATAGGTTTTTGCAGCGCTTACATTCCACACATGTGAGTCGTGGCTACTGCCTGGAAACCAAGCATCAGCACACCTTATTGGCATCTTGTAATCGCAAATCTATTTAATAAATTTACGATAAATGGCACGTACAAAAAAACTTTGCTCTTGTGGTTTTACTTACCACCATTGCATTTAGGCTGTAGTATCCCTTACGATTGTAGTATAAATACGGTTCGTCTGCAGGAGAAAGTATTTTAATGTGCGTGCCGTCCACACACATAATAACGAAGGGAATTGCGTTCTCCTGTAAAACCACATTTTGGCTCGTTTATATTCCTCCTCCGTCATTGACAATTTAATCCATACTGGGCACAGTCGGCGTTCCAAGAGGTTTAACGTTTTTGTTAATGTTTTCGAGAACGTGGATTGCGCCAACCCCACATCAAAATCTTTCCCAACAGCGTGTTGGTAGCTTCCTTCAGCGAAAAACCTCAAAACTGCCATCAATCTACTTATAGGAGTCACCGATGATGATTTTACACTTCGACCAAGCTCTTCCGCGTCTTTGTTGAGGCGGAAATTTTTTACAATGCTTTAAACATTTAAACGGTTCATTTATGTGTGTATCAGTGAAATCAATTATAAAACTTACATTTTATCAT